AAAGGAGAAACGAGTACAAAACGGTCACCCATCCGAATGGATGACCGTTGCGCCCAGCCACGAGGGAGGTGATTAGCCGGATCCTAGTCCATACATGACTAACCCCTTCTGGTTTGCATGTCTTTTCAAGTGTCAATTATTGTAGTCTATTAGGCGCGCGGGCTTCCTTGGGTTTGGAACCTCTAAAAGAGCTTTTGCTTGCATGAGTATACCACGACGTCTAAGKTATCATAAAAATTTCAAATTTCAAATAAAAGATTTGTGTAATAGTCTTCATAAGGATCAGTCCTGCGGTATCGGGACAAAATTATCGCAAAATTATCTTACCTGCTTTATTATTATTATTCGATTAACATGAAAAACTAGATATGTTTGCTCTTATCAAGCGATTTCTTTATGTTGCTAGCCGGTTTTGATATCAGACGAGAACATAAAAACACCTGGATCAAAAATAATTCAGTAACACCTTCAAAACTTCATATTAACGCCAGGCTTTCTAAGATATTGAATTTACTTGGGGTAGATCCAAAATTTGACGCTATTTACCGCTGGCCTTTGAGAAGACTGCTAACGCAGTCAACACGAACGGTAACCGCTGACTTTCACTAATGCGATTTAAGTTGACAGGTTTTTTAATGAAATCATCCACACAGATTAAGAGATTGTGTTCCAAGGCTAAGTTGAAGATGCACCAAATCAGGGAAACGTACGACCGGTAATTTGTCACAATGTCCAGATTCAATAACGCCCACAAACTGAAAATCACGTTCCTATGTCTTTACAAAAATTTACAAGCATGCGTCCTTAGATTGCCTTTGATTTGAACTTTGCAATTCAACTCAGACTCAGGCTCGTAATCAGTTATTGCAGTTCAATGTACCTGGGTTAGAACGTCTAGAATGTAGCACTTATTACTTGGATGTGGTTGGTCTGCGGTCATCAGGTCTTCAGGGTACCTCAACGCACTTGAAGCGATTTCGAACTAGTGTAGAAAACTATTCAGTCCTTAACCCAATGATCGTACTGGTTACATCAGTTACAGAGGCTGTAGTCCAGCTGACGTTCTGCATTGCCTAAATAAGTAAGAGCGAAGTATCAGGCGCGACAAAACCTTCACATCCAACTTTATATCGGGTGGATGGGCGGGAAAATATCTCAAAACACCAACGAATACTAAAAGTTTCCGTTCCGAGAGCGTGAGTGGAGAAATAACTGTGTTCGCCCTTTAAATACCCTTGTATGGAATGCACGTGGGATGTGCAAATACACTGCCTATATAAACAGTTATATAATCCCTGCACTTATGCAAACATCATACCTTACAAACTCTGCATAACAACGGAAAATTCATTGCATGTATGGCCAAATATAGTCTGTTTTGTATTTGCCTAATAAGTCATCAGTTATATATAGGACTATTTGAATATAAAATAAGAATTCATCAGAAATGAAAAGTTGATTTGAAAAAGAGGGAAAAGAGCGTCTTAGCGGTTTATGAAGACAAAAAAACAAGCCACACATTGTCTTGGAGTGAAACGGATTATGTTGCAAAAATCTAGAAGAATTTGCTTAAATTTTAAGTACGCTAAAAAATGATAATATTAAGAAAGAAGAGCAGAAAAGATAAAGAAAAAGAAAATGGAGTGAAAAAAGGAAATAAGTAGAAACGAGTACAAGACGGTCACCCATCCGAATGGATGACCGTGTTGCGCTCAGCCACGAGGGAGGTGACTAGCCGGATCCTGGTCCATACGTTCATTGAAGAAGAAATTAAAACACTTCAAGATAACACGAAAATACCCTTCATGCAGTGGTTGAGTTGCGCAACGCTTATTAAAGTTCATGGGTTTTAGCACGTTCACTAGTATTCAACAATTCACATTTCTTTGAAAGTATCGTCATAAGTAAACGATATCTTAATTGTACTAAACAAAGGAGACAATAATATCAAAACATTTCATTTCATACCTTTCTGTAAAAAGACTGAATTGCCAAAGTGCACGCGTAATTATTTCAAATCGATCAAGTCCAGTTATTTTAAACAGAATTGCATCTGGTTTTGGCTATAGTTGCTTGGTATAGTATGTAAGGATCGTTACGAGAGGTCATTGCAAAATACATTTGAAGTTGGTAGAGCAAAACTTTCTTTTTGTTTTGAATTTTATTTAAAAACAAAAACCTTTTATCAACTGAAAGTGTATTTTCAATATCCAGAGGCATTTCCTTCATATAAACAAAACTCAAGTCTCTTTTGATTAGTATTAGCAATATCGTCACTATGAAGAACACTCATTTTTATTGAGTTATTTTTCCTTTTTGATTTTTTTTTTACAGTTTTGCGGAATGTCAAACAAATATTCGAAAGGCGGAAAWTTTCKGCATTATATTCTGAGAGCAATATACAATTCTATATACATTGTTCATTGTTTTGTCCTTGTTTTRAACCACAGTTTCATGAGTTTAGATTTACTAGTGGTGTACTTGGATAGATTCGTCTTGAATCTGACTTTGTGCTGCGACTCTTGTCAGCTTACAATTGCAACAGTAAGCAMAYTKKCGAAAATCCTTGAAAAACGCACTATGAATAATTGGATTAATGCARCCAAATGTACTTGCCATGAAGATRACAAACAARCACAATTGYCTAGGTACATACAACAATCCTTTAAACACAACTATTACGACTATCACGACTAGAGGAGCCCAACAGATAATAAAACTGAGTAGAATAAAGCTAACTAACTTTGTTAGTCTTATCTCCTCGGATACWGATCTTGATTGCATTGCTGTGTTATGTCGCTGTACGAAGCGCCAAATTTTGTAATAACACAGAGTTATTATTGTGAATGGTAAAGCTGACAAGAGCAATACCATCGAMATCGCAAAAGTTATGTCAAGATTATGATAGTCAAACGTGCATACTATAAATGCTGAAACAAAAACAAACGCTCCTCCATTTAGAAGATAMGCCACGGGTCCAATGATAGCGAAGAGCCAGCCCAGTATAAGAGTCCAWATTATGAAACGCTTCGTATAAAATCGTCTGTGAAAAGSAGTTCGGAGCATCTTTGTGTAACGATGGACCGCTACAAGTGTCATGGTAACAATCGATGCTTCGCAGCTCCAAACAGCGACTATACCTTGAAATGAGCACCAMACACTTGAAAAAATCCACTTGCTTTTGAATAATGCTACAACGGAAAAAGGCATAGCTACTGTCGCTAGAATGATGTCTGCGATCACATGGGATATGTTGTACAATTTGAAGTTAGTCCGGGTGTCTTTCTGATGGACGAACGCCCACAGGATGAAAAGATTTCCAAATAGAGTACARAAGAGGATCGTGAGCGCCGTAAAGGCTTCAACCATAACGATGGAGTTTTTACGGTTGTAAAAACGCAAGTCCTTAATGTCTGTCATGTTTCCAKCCATTCTTACATTTACTAGTAAAGTTTGTTATTTTTCTTAAAATATGTACGAGTGTTTTTYAAATATCGTGAAAAAACAGACTATGGATTTATGCCTTCAAACTCAGCTTGAGGTTGACAGTCTGGTAATGACACTAACATGTATCTAGATATGCCTGGAAGATTTCCCTGCTTGCGTTGGTCGCCGGTCCATTTTGACAATGTTTACACAATAAACCTTTACTATTGACGTAGATTTCAGTTTTGACAAGAAACACACTACACATGGAATCACTCTGTGATGGTATTGTTAAACTTGAGCGGAATACTCTTGAATCAGAAATAGTAAGAGCTGTACTTCACGAGAACTGTGATAAGGTGGAGCAGCTGCATTTCGTTGTAAAAGTCCCTGAATCCATGTTATACGAGGATGGCAGGTGAAAGACTTTGTTTTAAACTTTTTTAAGTCATGCGCAGGAAATTATTTTGAACGTAATTATTGACAGCTTCGATGACTGCCTACTTGGTATAATAATTAAATGTCAATACCTCGCTACTTCCCAAAGCTTTTTGGCTTTTGTGGATGTGACAGTTGGTTTACTCAAAGTTTTGATACATTTTAATCGTGGCGCAATTTTTTCTTTAGTCATCCTTYGGATGCATTGTATTTTTGTTTGAATAAAATATTCATATTTATTCACCAAAAGGATACTCTCTTCATCACCTTGACAAACACACCTGCTTGGCTGAAAATGAACGGGAATGATARAGAGAGACCTCTCAATATGATCCAGTGTTAGCTGTAAACCTTTCTTCTCTTTCTATCTAAGGTTAGATATGAGAAGAAAAATAACTACTGCAATGAAAAGTCTGAAAAGTTCACCAATACACTATGAAAAAGCTAATGAAAATAATTTTATTTCCCTTGTTTATTATTGTTATTTTTTGCATGATTTCAGAAAACATGTTTTAGATTTTAGCCATAATGGGTAAAATTTAACTGTAATCGTACTAATTTTTTACCGTTTAATAGCCGAAATGGCAACTACCCTATTGAGAATTAATACATAGCGTAATGGAATGAATGGTAATTAAATACACTCAYATCTTGATTCATTCTCTACTCCACGTGTCAGCCATATCCATTTATTCAGATTTTCAAGATCCAGGATTTCTTGTTAGTGGTTCCTAACTAAATTGATGATGAYGTCACAGAAGGTCAATTTTCTATTAGTTTAAACATTGAACAACCATGAAAAGGTCCCCTGCGATTCTCCCTTAACTTATACTCTTATACTCTCCCTTACACGGTCTTAAACACCTATTATCAAGAGATTAAGGAAGGAAACATTCACTTGAGCCGGATTAGTTGACGATCTAAAGAGGAATATCACAAATTAATGTACTGCGAAAGTGTGTTCTTGATTAAAGCACTGTTCCCTTCATTTTAAAAAAGATCGCTCATGCCATTGTCTTTGGTTTTTCAGCTTCATTAGCGAGTTCATGAATTTCAGGCGGCACTTTCTTTGAAATCTTCATCATTATTGTTTGAATATGATAGATTTGCGTGTTCTTTCTCCACGAAGCCGGGTAGTTCAATGGAAGAAGGAGCTACCTCCTGGCGATTTAACCGTCTGTCTGTTTCCTTCCTCCAAGGTTCAAAGCAGTATTGTAGAAACGGAATTAAAAAAGACAGTGCAAAGATTCCTGCCCCAGTAGCTATTCCTTTGTAGAAAGAACCGGTTTTGTGGATGATTAAACCTGTTTAGGGAGGGAAAAAATGCTAATGAAGCCGGGAAAAAGGATTGGTTGATTCAAACCGGGATAAACTTTCCTTTCAGATGGTTGCCGCCATCTTGGATTACGACGTTTTTATGGACAAAATCAGAAAATTATAGAATGCACCCCAGTTTTGGGAATGTGATTACAAAGACTCTTTTTTTCCTTACATGCGACCGGAAAAACGTCAGATGATGTAACCTCGTTGGTATCAAACACCCTTTGTATTTTGTTTTAAAGCGATCATCGCTTCAGAGTCTGAATCTTAGGAGCTAGAGTCTATTGTTTTGTCCCCTATATGGAGATGCATTCACATGAGCTATAAATAGGGACTATGCAGGGTTATAATGAACTAAAATATAAACAATATTGAAAAAAAAAACAGCAACGAGGAAAACATAGAAGACTCTAGCACTGAAAACGCCTTCTRCAAAAAGGGTCGGAAGTTATTGCTAGAGACAACAAGGCAATGGCGTTTTCTAACACAATTTAGACAGTTTTTATATATAAAATTACAGAATWCTCGCTTGTATGTTAATCGGGAATTTATCGATGGCATTACCTATAAAAGGTGCACCAACCGCATTTCCAGTAGACGTCAGAACCTCAGCAATAGGCCAAGCATAATTCACTTGRTGCTTTTTAACAGTGTTCAAGAACAACACGGCTATTGTGGTACGAAAGATGCCCATGCCGATGCCACAGAAGAACGAGAATATYAWAAAATGATGATACTSGTTGGCCAGATTGATTRAAAATAATGATGTTGACAATATAAATGCAGCAGTCTGGTTCACGTGGAAAGGGTTGACAGTCTTGTGATCCATGATGCGTCCAGATACAACAGACGARRCCAATGCMAAGACACCGATTACTGTAAACTGATTGGCTCCTTGTTGTGATGTAATACCAGCCTCTATACAAAATTTCACCTGAAAACAACTTAGGTTTATTAGTTATTCATAGTACTTATTAAGRCCGATTTAGACAACAACCTCGCATGCAACCCGCGTAAGTCATCCTTACAACTTGGCTACAACTGTCGTAGAGATTTAAAAACAATTGCTTAATAGTCCTATGACAGTTGTAACCATGTTGTAAGGATGACTTAAGC